TCACAAGCACCGCTCTTAATTTAGGCAGAGACCCACAGAGCAGAGTTGTGGATCGTTCACTCAGCTGAGGAGCAAAGGAGGGCGCTCTCTCCTCTGGGCTCCAGGAGAGACGGCATGAAAGGGCTTTTCCCTTACGTTGCCTCAAAGAAGCCCTCGAAAGAGGAGGGAACATGAAAGACGAGGGAACATGAGCTGATAATCTCCACTGTCCTCTGCCCGTTTCCGCCCTTGCTCCTTTCCTCCTTTTCCCCTTTCTTTCTTTCTTTCTTTCTTTCTTTCTTTTTTTCTTCACCTGAGCTAACATCTGTTGCCAATCTTCTTTTCTTTTTCTTCTTCTTCTTCTCCCCAGAGTGCCCCCAGTACATAGTTATATATCCAAGTTGTAGGTGCTTCTGGTTGTGCTATGTGGGATGCTGCCTCGGCATGGCCTGATGACCAGTGCCATGTCCCCACACAGGATCCAAACCAGTGAAACCCTGGGCGGCCAAAGTGGAGCGGGTGAACTTAACCACCTGGCCACAGGGCCAGCCCCTGCTCCTTTCTTTGTTAAATGTGTTCGCCCAAGAGGCTCAGAACCAGAGTCTATGTTTTCCAGGAGAAATCTTGCTGACCCGGAGCCTTTTCAGACCTGGGCCAGGGAGCAGCAGGATTCCTCCACAGCGGGCAGGCTGGCTAGATGGGAGACGAGGACAGAGGAACCCCAGGGATGACAACTGGAAAGGCAGGCCTCACTGGGGACAGTGCCCTGGGGTGGATGGACAAAGACGTGTAGGTGTTGGACATGGACACTGTGGTGTGTGGGAGTAGGGGGCGCGGAGCGCAAAGTCATCTGATGTTGAGATCCTCATCACCTCACACAGAGCTAGAGACGGGTTAGCCAGAGTCCCCGCAGAAAACAGTTGGTGCAACCTGGGTGATTTAAGGAAAGTTTAACACAGGGCTGGGCAGGCATTAAGCCAAGAGGGAAGGACGGTGCAGTCTCTGGGGCCGCTACCAGTCCTGAGCCCAAAGGGGAAGCCAGAACTGGGAGAGGACTGTTGTAGGAAGGCTGTACTCCAGGAATGTGACCTCCGGCAGAGGGATGTGTGCGATGGTCCCAACCCTCGAAGAGTGGGCCGCGACAAGCATCACTCTTCCTCCTCTGGATTTCTGCAGCTGCATCTTCCAGGCTCCTCCACCGTGGGGTCTGTCCAATCTATCTCCAGCTCTCCAGCTGGATCTTTCCCAAAAAAAACCCCTAATTGTGATTCAAAGACCAGATACTCAGACTCCAAGCCCACATTTCCCTGAGGATAAAACCCGATCTGCTTAGCTCTGGTGTAAGAGTCCCATGTGACCAGACGCGCCTGCCCCTCTGTGTCACTTCTCCAGGTGCCTTACTTAGAGTCCCCCAGTGCGCCTCTTCACACAGACGGTCCCCTTGGTCTGAGACTCATTCTCCCTCCCAGACGCTTCCTTGTTCACCCAACTGCTCCTGGGCCTTTGAGATTGATTCAAGCGTCACCCCCTCCAGGAAGCCTGCCCTCCAGTCTGAGTCTGAGCCCAGCTTTGGTGTCCCCAGGGCAGCATCCTTCCCTCCCTGTGCTGTGACTGCCCCTGATGGTGATCTGTCCACCATGCCCTCCCAGGGGAGCCCCCAGGGCTGGGCCAGTCACCGCTCCCCATGTCTCAGCACCGAACCCTGGTGCAGAGCCGATATGCGAGAAAGAGAGTTTCCCAATACACATAACTGACCGGCCTGAGCAGCTCGAGTCCGCAGGACTTGACCTTTCCAACTGTGAAGTGAAGGGACATTATTAAATGAGCTTCAGGAGCATATCCAGCTCTAATGTTTCAATTGTCCTTGACCTAAAAGCTACAGAAACAAAACTTGGCATAAGAGGTCTCTTTTCAACATAATGTTAGCAGCCGTCAACCGGCTCTCTGGGACCTTGGGAACGGGGTTCTGACTGAACCTGTGAGTACTGGGCCTCTCTAACGATCTCAGCTTCCCCCCGGCAGGGCGGTGGCCGGCTCAGCCCTTAATTCCGAGGTCAGCTGCAGTAGGAGGCGGGAGCCACGTGTGCCTTGTCGCCCGGGGCATCACGGGGCTGTGTGTAACGGGCTCACACAAGGGAAATAACGTGCCAGCAGATCATAAACAATATTGTATTTGCATTGTGCATGTTTTCCCCATTTCCTCTGGAAATAATCAAAGCTGTATGTGTTGGGATCCTCCTTCCCAGAACCCTGTCCTCCCCAGGGTCATGGGGAGCGCGTGGGGAAGAAACTGTCCTGTGTGAGGGGTGGTGTTAATCCAACTCCACTGAGAAGGTGCTGGGGCCCCAAAGAGAGGACCGCGCCCCAGGCCAGGAGGGGGCAGGGCATGCGTCCTGTCCCCTCCTTCAGAGGGGCTATCAAGGCCCACTGCAGGGCAACCCTCCTAGCAGTGGGTTCTGACTTTCCAGGCTGCGCCCAGGGGCATGTGTGCTCTTATTGCATTATTGGGGGGTGGGGGGGGGGTACATTCTTTTAACATTGATCAAAGTAGCACTTGTAGAGAATTTAAAAAGCCAAATGCTCCTACAAGACATCCTGAAAAGCAGGCTTCCGCCCACCCCAGCTCTCACCCCCAGAGGCACCACCTCCAACTGGGCAAGTTGTTTCCTGGTGTCTGAGCTCCACGTGTCTAACTCATAGTTTGTGCTGCTGTGTCTTGACATGTCAATGGAGACGTCCTCTAGACTTGCTGTTTTGGGACATGAGGAACTGGCCCTGTACCACCCCCATGGCTGCACGCTCCCTCCGCTTCTTCCCGCATGGGTTTATCGCATTTTTTGCTAAATCTGTGTCGAGTATTCCTGCCGTGACTATGGAGACCCCGCTCGGGGCTAAGCCCCAAGGCTCCGTCGCTTTCCTCTCCTGTACAACTTCCGTGCGTGGTTAATAGGTGATGCTGCCTTTCACTTCATTTCCCACGCCTGTTTGAACTCAGCCCCAGATTCTCTGACTGAACCCTACACTCCCCTCAATACGGTCAACACCACCACCAGGTGATCTGTCCCACAGCTGGGGCTTCACAGCTGGATCTTGGGGTCCAGGATCCCTTTCCTCAGTTTACTCCCCTTTAAGTGTAACACGCTCTCAGTAGCCTCCAAAAGAAGGTACTTTGGAGACAGTTTTTGAGACCTTGTAAGACTAAAATTATGTTTATCTTACCCTCACACTCAGTTGATGATTTGACTCGGAATCCAGGTGGGAAGTCACATTCTCTCTGAATTCGGAAGGCTCCCATTGAGTTTCACTTTCTCCTTTGTGGTTGAAAAGTTGGGGGGCCATGAAAATTGCACCCTTGAACCTCAATCCTCCCCCACACCTCCATCCGCCTCCCACACCTCCATCCGCCCCCCATACTTCCATCCGCCCCATACACCTCCATCTGCCCCCACACTTCCATGTGACCCCAACACCTCTGACTACAGCTAACACAGTTGGCCCAGGGTGCCAGCTGCTCTGCTCCAAAATCTATGGCCACATTTGTGCAGCCTGGCTTCCCAGAGGCTGCTCCCAGGCAGGGCCGAGCGGGAGAGGGATCCTAAGTGGACCATTCTTGGGAGACACGGGTCTCCTCTGACGGCCAACTGGTGTGAGGGCCTTGGGGAACCGCCCTGAGGCTGTGCTCCATCTCCTGGCCTCCCTCCACTCTCTTCCACCTGGGGCCAGATGCCGCGCTGGCTCCTCCCACTCTGGCTCACTCAGGCGGGGGCCCCTGTGAAGTCTGCATTTTTGCTCTGTCTTCTCATCTGCTTCTCAGAGGAACCAGACAGACACAAAGTTCTAACACCATTTTACCTTCTTGTCGCTTGTTCAACCTGTGTTTTCTCTGGATGCTTAGAAGCTCCTCTGTCACTGGTGTCCGAAGCTTTGTGGCAGTCTGCCTCCTAGGGAGCGTTCTCATTCACGGATCTGGGTGTTCAAAGGGCCTGCATCCGTTTCCTGGGGCTGCTGGAACAAGTTGCACAAACTTGGCAGCTTAAACAACAGAAATTTATCGTCTCACGGTTCTGGAGGCCAGAAGTCCAAAACCACGGTGTCAGCAGGACAGCTCCTTCCGAGGGCTGTGGCAGAGAGTCTGTTCAGGCCTCTCTCTTACGTTCGGGTGGCTGCCATCATCCTTGGCGTTCCTTGGCTTGTGGCAGCATAATTCCAGTTTTCATGTGGGACTATCCATCTGTAACCGTCTGTGATCAAATTTCGCATTTTTATAAGGACCCCAGTCCTGTTGCATTGGGGCCCACCCAGCTCCAGTGCGCCCTCATCTTAGCTGTTTCCAGATGAGGCCACCTTCTGAGGTCCTGGGGTTAGGTCTTCAACACACAAATCTGGGGGGACACAATTCAACCCGTAGCAGGGTCCTTTCGGATTGTAAACTCAGCTCCTTCCACCACCCCATGTTCTTGATTCTCCCTTCGGATATCAGACTGCTACAATGACCTTCTTATTTTCTTATCTTTTTCACGTATTTTCTAATGTTTTGTCTTCTTTGTTTTTGTGGAAAATATCTTTATCTTCTAATCTACTGACATTTAAAAATTCTGCCACCGTGTCCTTTACTTATACAGCACCCTGCTCTGACTGTGCACGGTCCATGCGGTGAGGGCAGGCACATCTCCGCCGTCCTCTGCTTCTTGTGCTGTCTGCTTTTCCACTCCCGCTGGCTGTTGCTCAGCTCTGGTTGGTTTTGTCTTATTTGGGCCCCTGCCTGGCGTGGAGGGTGTCGCTCAGATGTTAGGGGAGCGTTGGCTATGCGTCCCTATTCAGACTCCAGAAGGCTGATTGGAAGTGTGGGTGTCTGGGTGGGCCGTGTTGATGTGTGGGCCTCACTGGAGGGACCCCAACATCATAGACTTTCTTTCAGGCGCATCAGCCCCCCGCCTGTAATTCCCTTGGCTATCGACTGGGGTGCAGAAGACTTGCTGGGCGGCCAGTGTTCTAGAACACGTCAGAAGGGAGTGTTCCAGGAGCAGGAGAATCTCATGGTTCAGGGTACAGTCACTCAACGGCAGATTCTCAAGCACCTTCGGGGGACCCGGGGGCCCTAAGCCTTGGTCTCTTCTGATTCAGCATCTGCAGGGAGCAGACCTCCTGCCGGCCGTGGGGTAAGGCGGGGTGTCCTGGCTGAACGGGGTCGGGGAGCAGAGGTGGGGCACAGGCACCCGTGACCCTGCCGCTCTAAACGTAGGGTCGTCCTTCTGGACCTCCTGGTGCTTCTTCCCCCTCAGGCCTGCCTCTCTCTCTCCTGCACCACTGCCACCAGTCTGTAGCCACCATCATCCCGTCTCCTCCTCTCCTCTCTGTGTGTGTGTGTTCACATCTTTTTAAATTCCTGTGCTGTCCTTCTAGTGGGATTTTCAGTAGAAGCGGAGATAAATCCCGTGTTCAAGCCCCTATTGATCCCTGGATACAATTGGCCTAGTGAGGGGCCATGAGGACCTTCCCCAAAGTGAGGACAGAAAGGGGTGCAGGAGGGCGGAGCTGAGGGAGGTGGTCTGAGCATGTCAGGATGTGACAGCGGCATCTCACCTCGTCAGCATCCAAAGACTCTGTCGGGCTACCATTTCTCGGCGGGTTGCCTCTTGTTACAGGTAAGTTAACAACATTTTTAAAATAAAGAACATTTGCCGACATCGTCCAGACTCGGCTGAGTGGAATCTCATCCCCTCGCTTTGGTCCCAGTCCCGAGTGTGTGCGGCAGAACTGACTGGCCGGCGGGTGCTGGAGCTCCCCAGCCAGGGCTGGACCAGCCGCAGCCCCTGCTGGGCGGGAAGCAAACGCACTTCAGGAGGAAAGCAGGACCCGGCTGGCAACCCTCCGGAGGGCCGATGGCCGGCCACGGGGTCAGAGGGCCCCAAAGCAACGGGGCTCACAATGGAAACACTTTCGCAGGGCGACGAAGATGAGGGGCTGAGAAAGTGGGGTGCAGTAGGAGAGGGTGGGTGCTGGGGAGGCAGGACCGTATCTGGGAGCCCAGCCATCTCCTGGCACCCGGGCTGAAGGACGACAGGGAAAGAGGGGGTCAAAGCTGGACGGGGAATGGGGCCTCACTCCCCAAGGCTGAGCTCCTCCTCACCCCGCAGAGAAACAGGCGATGTGCTGTGGGCTTGGACGTGTGGGGTTTCCACCCTTCACGCCTGAGGTGTCCTCACTCAGGGAGCCAACCGTCGTCGTCACCAGGAGCGTGAGCAGCCCCGCAGCTCTTCCTGTGAAAGAGCAATTAGCTCGAGGACCTCTCGTTCTTCTCGTTCTTCTCGTTCCTCTCGTTCCTCTCGAACTCTGCCCACAGCCTGCAGCAGCCAGGCCGGCAGCCAAGCCCCTGTCCGCAGCGGCCAGCCCAGGACGCCGGCCCAGCTGGCAGGAAGTCAGACCTCCAACTCCAGCAACCAGCTCAGGAACCTCTGTAACAACTGGGCCAAAACAGCCAGGACCTGATCAATATCTGCCAGCTCTCCTCCTTATTGGCCCCACTTCCAACTTGGGACCAACTGGGGAAAGTGAAACGTGCTCCCCTAACCAGTCACGCAGGAGCCCAGCTTCCCCAGCCCACAGCCTCCAGCAGGCACAGCCGAGCCCACCTCATGCCACCATGGAGCCGTCCTGTTCTCTGCCTGCCGCTGAGTCCCCGCCGAGCACAGGTGATGGTGGCCCACCCCCGCGCTCCAGCCAGCTCTGAATCAGCTCTGCTCTCAGGGGGCCTCTGTGCATTCCACTGCAGTGGAGCAGCACGTAGCTCCAGGCCTCTGGGTCCCTCCCGAGCTCTCCCGACAGAGCCACGCTGTCCAGAAGCAAAACATGGGCAGTTTCCCCAAGTGAGTTGTGGCCCCGGCTGCCAGCTGCAGTGGGGCCCACCAGGCTTCGCAGGGAGCCCGGCCAGCATTTGCAATCGGTTTCCTTTGGTAACACACATTCTAAGCTCCAGTCAACCCGCAAATAAAGTTTTAGAGAATTATTTTCGAACTCAGCACTTGCGGCTGCTTGGGACCCGCATTCATCCACGTTTGTACCTGGGGTCTCATCTCTGACTTGCTGTTTGCAGCTCTTCCTTAGAGCTGCTGGGCCCATCCCCTCCCCACCCCTCGCCCTTGATCACCGGGGGTTGCCCAGCTCCCCGCGGAGGCCGTCCGTCCAGCGTGGTTTCTGTGTCACAGTCAGGCACCCTCAGGTGTGCGGGAGCCTTAATTCATCAAGGGGGCAGCACCTCGTTTGAATCCTTTTGCAGTCACTGCGCACAGTGACAATTTAAAACACAATTCATACTACTAGGTCAGATTGATTTTGAAACCTGACACATCATTTTTATACTGAAATTTCACTACGTTTTACAGTGTATCTCAACGGAAACAGTTTTAAAGGAACAATATTATTTACAGTCCTAAACTCAACCTCCTCCTGAAAGCAAATATTTCCGTGAACAACCTCAGAGGGGAAAAAAAGTACAAAAATCCCAATATCTGAGGAGAAAAAGTGTTAATTTGGCAAGAAACACATTAACACTGGTTTGTGAGAGAGAGTTCCCATGATCCAAGGGATCTGCAGCTTTATTCTTAATGCTCCACAAACCTGAAATACGGGAAGCACAGGACAAGACCATTCATTGTGACTCGGGCCAATTATGTGGCCCCTCAAAAATGATGTTTTCTAGCTCACTTGCTCACATATCCCCCTTAGATGGGGAAGCTGGGCACGTGGAGGGGTTTTCTCCTGCTGCACAGGACTCTCCACCTGTGACTCTGAGCATGTGATCCCCAACGAGTCTTAGTTTCCTGAACTGGTAGCCGTGGCACGCCCCTTTGTTGCCACATTACCAGAAGAGCTAATGAGTACAGATGTCTGCAAACAGCTTTGTAAATTCAAGGAACAACGTCACTTGTTGGGAATGGGGGGCTTCGCTTCAACGTTGGGGCCTTTGCAGAATGCAGAAGCTTGGTCCTCCCCACCCTCCCGACGGGGTTGGGGCAGGTCAGGGTTGGAGTAGAGAGTTCTTCACAAATATTCTGACTTACTTCCCTTCAGGAAGTCCGGACAGGCTCTCTGCCTGTTTCTACCTTCCAACCACTGAGACGAGTCACATGGAATTTCCCCGAATAAGAAGTCCCCCTAAAACAAGCTAAATCGGTGACATTAGGTTAAACTGACCGTCGGGCATGGCCTCCAAAGGGAAGGAAGTCACTCAGAGGCGGGCGGGTAAGGGAGGTGGGGCGCTGCATTTTGCTGGTGGCCGTTTGCAGTGGCTCCGCAGTCAGGCCCCACCCTCTGTGCTCGGCCACCTCCCACCCCCCCTCCCCACTCACTTGACTCTTGTCCCCTCAGCCCTGGTCACTTCACAATCTGAGTCCATTTCCTTGATTGAGGGAGGCCGGGGACCTTGGAACAACCCATTCCTGGACCCAAAAAAGCAGAAAACCATGAGGAGAGAAGAGAGACAGTTACTAGAAATAAATCATACCTCAAAGCAAGGACGACGAAAAGGCAGTGAGGGAAAACATGCTCAAGAATTCGGGCTTACCCACATCTGACTCTCAAACGTGTTCCTGGAACTGAGAAACACTGGGAAATCCCTGGAGGGTTTTCCCCTGGGATTCCCACATCCAGGGCTGCTGTTAAACCAAGAGCGATTTCATTTGTTTCCAAGTGTTTTAATCAGATTTTAAAGATGCTCTAGTGCCTGAAGATGAAAGGAACACTTGTTGGAATAATTTCCACAGTTCTGCTCTGTCGTCCAGCCAGAGCGCCCAGAAAACGGTGCACCTTGTATCTGCCGGGGCTTCCGAACACAGAGGACATGCAAAGCGGCTCTCACATTATTCAGACGTGTGTTTCGAGTGGAAATGTGTACACGCTCATTTACCATCAAGTCCCCGAAATGATGACTTCTGCCGCGATCACAGCCTTGCTCTTTGTTTACGATGTCTGTCAACGCCTCCTCACCGGAAGATGGGAGATGCTTTTTTTGCTGCATAAAGCAGGTGAGATTGCTGAGACTGACTCATCTGTCATGAATATTCTTTAATTGCAAAACTGTCTCTCAAAGGCCACCTGCATCACCTTAGTCTCTCGGTCCCCACCCAGTTAGAAGCATCGCATGAGTCACAGAGACAGGCTGTCTAGCTTTGGGGCTTCTTCAGAACCGCAGTGGCGAGCCCAGGAACGCCCTCAGCTCTGAGTGGTTGGCATGTGTCTTTGCTGAGCACCCTGGGTCTCAGGGTCCCCCAGGCCCTTGAGAAGGGCTCCTTGTGCACTGAAAAACCTAAGCGTTCCAATACCCAGGCTGTGGTTGATTCTTTGGTTTCCAAGCTCATTTCTGTTTCGTTTTGTTTTTAACACCCGTTTGATGGGCTGCGAACTCCTAGTGAGAACAGCAGCCTTGGATGAAATAAACTATGAAGTTGGGAACTTGGGGATGCAATAAGCATATCTTCCTAAATTGCAAATCATTAACTGGTTCACAGACTTTTGCTGTGACAAACATATTGCATTGTTTAAGTGGCCTAAATGGGTTCGTTCTGCTCCCGTAGATCGGCCCTAATGCTCTCCCAGCAGGAAATTTATTGCAAAAAAATCGTTCTGACTGGAGAGGAAAAGAAAAATATGCATCTTTCACCAAATACTAAAAGATAAATATCTGACGAGTCACAATTCAAGTAGAAAGTGACTTTCAACGTGTGTCCCCGGATGCTCTCCCGTCTCACCCCAGAACCCGTGCAGGATTCATCTGTGAGAATAAAAGAGAACACTGGATTGATGTGATTTTGCACTTCAAACTAATTTTAAGATACTGGTGTTGCTGCACTGGGAAAAAAAATGATATATGTAAACTGTGTCAACTCAGATACTTTAAATAAACAAAAGAGCTGATATTTAAAAGAAACATAAAGTTTTTTTTTTCCAAACTGAAAAATCCCTTTGTAATGCAATCACTCAGGTTCTAATTTTAAATTATCCACTTTATGAACTTGGAGTTTTGGAAATCTCGTTTTCATAAAGGAGAGTGTCCTACACAGCCTAGTTTGAACTCATCTACTCCCCATCAGTTTCCCTTTGACTAAAGAGAAAGTGTACGCCACTTGACGCGATGACTTCTTTAGGAGTTTAATTTCTCAGCATTCTCTAGAGGACTCTAATATTGCTGCTGTTCAAGGACCCTCCAGAGAACATCAACAGCTCTCTAGCTGTGCTTCTTCCGCCTCTTTCTCTTCCTCCTCCTTCTCCTCCTTTTATTCATCAAAGTGGTTGCAATATTTAGCAATGAAATTAGAAAATCAAATCGTGGATCTGGTTGGTTTTGGAGCATTTATTCAATTATTACTCCAATTATCAGCCCACCTTTAACAACTTACGGTTACAAAATTCATTACATATTATCCAGAAATATGAAACAGGCTTAAATCCTCAAACGTAATTTCAGCCTGTGTTCCAAAATGGGTCCTTTCTCGGGGAGCTGTCTACAAGCAGTGCTGACGACTGCCAGCGGGTGTCGTCACCAAGACTCACACAGGACAGGAAGGGAAATCCGGGTGGTGTTATGTGCCTACTGTGATATTGTCAGGACATCTAAGAAAGGCAAATTATGTTCTCTCTTCATCGCTTTCTTTCTAAACATATTTGACAACCCATCTTTTATTAATATTTGCATTCTCTGAGACGATTCTTTTGTACGCCACCATGCTGCTTCAGTACGAGGTATCAATCATGGATTAAGAAAGAGATAATCCCATATAAAGAATATTTATGTCTTAATTATCTTGAAAGGTTGGCACAGTAATTGAAAATTCAAAGGTCAAAAATTCTGCTTTGTTTTTCTTATTTTTCAAGAAATCAAGAGGCCAACAACACAAAGATTGATAGAAATACATTTTCCTTGTCTCTTCTGCACGTTATACTAACCGGGAAAAAAATGTCAAATTGACAGGACTTTGTGATGTTTTCTCTTTAAAGATGAATATGCCTCAGCATGCCCACTAATAAAGATGCCACCTTATAGGTAAAGGACCAACAGACCAATCATGAAAGAGGTCGTTATGAAGGAGAGTGAATGCTGGAAACATGTATAATCTCAGTAACAATCAAACACAAATAAAAGCCAAAACTGAGATGTCATGATTCACCGATCAAATAATCACACACAAAATGTATTAATCACAAGTACTGTGTGAGAGAGTGCTTTTGATTTCCATGGGGGTGGTTGCAGACAAAGATTCAGGAGCGTTAAAAATGTTCATAGCAATTGACTCATTAGTGACCCTCTTGGGAATCTAATCAAAGAAAAAAATCTCAAATCCAAAGATATATGGACAAGATTGTTCATTCCAGCAATATGTATAATAGAAAAACACAGGACACATTCTAAATATTGCCCACAGAATCGTTAAATAAACTAAAAAAGTCGTATGCTTCTATATATTTAGTCAACAAAATAATGTCTTTGCAGGGGCCAGCCCAGTGGCATAGCAGTTAAGTTCGCACACTGCAGTTTGGTGGCCTGGGGTTCACTGATTTGGATCCCGAGTGCAGACCTATGCACCGCTCATCAAGCCATGCTGTGGCAGGGGTCCCACATACAAAACAGAGGAAGATGGGCATGGATGTTAGCTCAGGGCCAGTCTTCCTCAGCAAAAAGAGGAGATTAGCAGCAGATGTTAGCTCAGGGCTAATCATCCTCAAAAAAAATAAAATATAAAATAATGTACATACTTTCAGAGATAAGCACCTGAAAGGATATCGGCAAATTGTCTCTAAATAGTATGACTGTGGATATTTTTCCTGCTAGTCTTTGCTCATCTGCATATTTTTGTTTTATGCAGTAAGCATGCTTGTTTCAGTAGTAAGGAAAACTCTTAAGAGAAAGAAATACATTTACTAAGAGTATATGGGTAAGTGCTTATGATGAAATAGTAAGTGGATAAAAGGAAGATATAAATTTTATATACAGTAAGAGCTAAACTATGTAAAATAATATGCATAAAGGAAGGAAATACACTGATGATGAGTTGAGAGTGGCAGCTGAGTTGGGGACAATTTTATTCTTTTCTCTATTTCAAGTTTTCTACAATGAGCACGGATTACTTTTAGTATCAGAAAAAAATAATTTTTCAATAAAAATATTGAACCTGGACCCATAACCTGCACCATAATAAAAATTAACTCAAAATGGATCATCGAGTAAATGTAAAATCTAAAATCACAAGACACCTGGAAGAAAACGTAGAAGGAAATCTTCTGACTTTGGGTTAGGCAAAGATTACTTAGGACACCGAAAGCACGGCCCATAAAAGAAAAAATGGATAAATCTTACTTCATCAGAATTAAAAACTTCTGGTCTTTGAAAGATACTGATGGCTATGAACAGTCAAGCCACTGACTAGGAGAAAATATTTACAAAACACACATGAGATAAACACTTGCATCCATCATATAGAAAGAATTCTCAAAACTTGATAATAAGAAACAAACAACCCAATTTAAAAATAGGCAAAAGGTTTGAAGGAAGGTATTTGAGTGGCGAATAAGCACATGAAAAGATATTCAACATCCTTAGTCACATTAGGGAAATGCAAATAAAACCGTAATGAAATACCACTACGTATCTATCAGAATGGCTAAAAATTTAAAAAAAAACAAACAAGCAATACCAAGCACTGGCGAGGATTCAGAGCAGCTATATCTCTCATACCCTGCTGAGCAAATGCAAAACGGGACAGCCACTCTGGAAGTCAGCTCAGCGGTTTCTTTTACTGTTAAACCATATTCTCCATGTTACCCAACAATTTCACTCCTATTTACCCAAAAGAAATGGAAACTATGTGCACTCAAAAACCCGTCTGCAAGTGTTTATTCCTGATCACCAACAACTGAAAACAACCCCAACCAGCTGGGGAATGCATAAAGGACCTGGCGTCCCTCTTTACGATGGGATCCTACTCAACACGGACCAACAGCAGAGATGAATCTCAAATGCCCATGCCACCTAAAAGAAGCCAAACGTAAGAGGCCGCATATCGTGTGATTCCATTTATGTGACATTCTAGAAAAGGCAAAATAAAGGCCAAAAACAGCTCCGTGGTGCCAAGGGCTGGAGGTGGGCAAGAGGCTGACCACAAAGGAACTGGAAGGAATTTGGGGAGAGTTGGAACTATTCTCTGTCTTGATTGAGGTGTTGGTTCTATAACTGTGCGTTTGTCAGAGCCTATAGAATGGTACAATAAAAGCAGTGGTTCTGCTCTTTAATTTCATGAACAAACTTTCATGATTGTTGGAAAGATGAAAAGGTTCCGGAGATGGATGGTGGTGGTGGTTGCGCAACAACGCGAATGTGCTAATGCCACTGAACGGCACACTTAAAAATGGGTAAAATGGAGAACGTATGTTTGGTATCTTTTACCACTATAAAAATAGTTTCATAATTGTTATTCATTAATTTTTTTTAAATATCCTATTTTACCTTTGGGTAATAATTGTGTTTTAAAGCACGTTCATCTCTGTTACATCATTGACACCGTCCCAGCGGCACCGTCCCAGTGAAGCCCACGGGGCTTCAAACCACCCTCCTCTGACGTGTCAGAAAACCGGTCCCCGTCGTCCGTGACCTAAGCGGCACAGCCTGCAGGTGGCGCCCTTCCGATCCCTGTTCTCAGCACCAATCCGCGTCTCCCCTCCAGAAACTTCCTTTGCTGAGTGACAGCAGAGGTGTTGTCTGAATCTGTGTGGGTTTTTGGAAACAAGGCCAGTTCGGTCAAAACGTAATTTCCTTCAGTATCCCAAGCAGAGGTTTGAGTCAATAAGATTCAAAACTCACTTTTAACAAATGCCTCTGTTCCATTAATTTTCTGTCATACAGGACTCAAAAGTTTTCATGAAATCACACTTTAGCTAAGTGCAATGCACTTTGGTAGTTTCTATTCTGTTCTGTACTGTTTCATTTTTTTAAATGATGGTCGTGACCCACTAAAGGGCACTTTATCACGCCTGTTGGGTAGCGACCCACGACTTGGAAAACAGCTCTAGTGAGCCTGGCCGCACAACGCTTTAGCGTCCCATCCACAGCTTTTGTAGGGGAAAGACTCAGAGTTACGCGAAGACCCTATTCAGCTATTTGGGGAAGTGACTCGTATTAACAAAACTTGAAACCCACGTGATGAAAGCGCCCTTGCCTCTGAGGCCTGATTTCCACTCCTGTGACCCGCACCAGGGCTGCTCCAACCACACCGATGGCCTCGATGGCCTCACTGTTCCTCACACCTCCAGGCACTGCCCTGCCTCAGGGCCTTTGAACTGGCTCTTCCTGCTACCTGAAGTCTTCCCCAGATCTCCCGTGACTAGACCCGACCTCCCCCAGGTCTCTGTTCCAGTGTCACATTCTCAATAAGGCCTGCCCTGCAGCCACCCTCTCAGTCACAATCACCCTTCTCTTTATCTCCTATTCATTGCCCTTTCACCTCCTAACGCACTATTAATTACTTTACTTACTGTTTCTTTTTGATTTCTCCCAGTTAGTCTCTAACTCCATAAGGATGAGCATCTTCACCTTTTCATCACTAACACATTCCAACTGGAGGAGAGCAGCTGGCAGGTATTTACTGATAGGCACTGAGGGAATGTTGGGTGGATGGATGGATTCATTTCTCAGATATTTTCTACACATTAGGGCAGATGAATGACAAGCTTTACACTGTACACTCTCTAGTCCCCCCTTATCTGCGGGGGATTCGTTCCCAGACCCCCAGGGGATGCCTGAAACCACGGATAGTACTGAGCCCTATATAACCTGTGTTTTTTCTATACATACATACCTATGATAAAGTTTAACTTATAAATTAGGCACAGTAAGAGATTAATAATAACTACTAATAAAATAGAACAATTATAACAATATGCTGTAATAAAATTTACCATAGATCTTAGTGACCTCAGCCTACGACGCTTTTTCTTTCCTTATTAAGTTAAGAACTTTCACCTTTTCACTTAAAGGAAGCTCTTTACAGCTTCTCTTTGGCCTCTCAGAATTGCCAGCATCACTCCTCTTGCGCTTTGGGGCCATTATTGAGTAAAATAAGGGTTCCTTGAACACGAGCACTGTGATCCCATGACAGTAGATCTGATAACGGAGACAGCTACTAAGTGACCAATGGGCAGTGGCAAATACAGTGTGGATCCGCTGCACGGAGGGGTGAGTCACCTCCCAGGAGGGACAGCACAAGATTTCATCACGCTACTCAGAACGTCATGCAATTTAAGACATTAATTATTTAATTCTGGAGTTTTGCATTTAATATTTTCAGGCTGAGGTTGACCATGGGTAACTGAAACCACAGAAGGTGAAACCATGGATAAGGGGGGACTACTGTACCGGGTCCAGGGGAGGGGAGCTGGGCACATGGTTCTGGGGTCTTACCCTGCCCTCCACCCCAGGGCCTGGGCTGGTACAATGATTCTCAAAGTGTGGGACTAAGGAACACCTGCAGCAGAATCACTCATCATGCTTACTAAAAATGCAGATTCCCAGACCCCACCCCAGACCTACTGAATTAGACTACCTGATGCTGGGACCAGTAGTTTGGTTTTTTTTTTTACAATTTTTTTTTTTTGAAGAAGAAGATTAGCCTTGAGCTAACATCTGCCACCAATTCTCCTCTTTTTTGCTGAGGAAGACTGGCCCTGAGCTTACATCTGTGCCCATCTTTCTCTACTTTATATGTGGGATGCCTACCACAGCCTGGCTTGCCAAGTGGTGCCATGTCCGCACCTGGGATCCGAACTGGTGAACCCCGGGCCGCCGAAGCGGAACGTGCAAACTTAACCGCTGAGCCACCAGGCCGGCCCCAGTAGTTTGTATTTTAAATAAGCCCCAAACCCCACCCCCAGCCCAAATGAATCACTGGCCCTGTGGAAAGAGCACTTGAGTCAGGAACTGCATTCTGATCCATTTCCAGTACTAACCAGTTGTTTAGACTTCACTGTTACCTGCATGCTGTTAGACTAATTCTGAGTGTGCACACACTGCTAGTGATAGCTGGGTCGTCATGGAGGTGGTGGTGATAGGGTGGTGGTGATGGTAGTGGTGGTGGTGATAGTAGAGGTGGCAGTGATGGTAGAAATGGTGGTGGAGGTGGTGGTGGAGATAGACTGGTGGTGATGGTGGTGGTGGTGGTGATAGGGTGGTGATGGTGGAGGTGGCAGTGATGGTAGAAATGGTGGTGGAGATAGACTGGTGGTGATGGTGGTGGTGGTGATAGGGTAGTGATGATGGAGGTGGTGATGGTGATGGTGGTGGTGATGGTAGAAATGGTGGTGGAGGTGGTGGTGGAGATAGACTGGTGGTGATGGTGGTGGAGGTGGTGGTGGTGATAGGGTGGTGATGATGGAGGTGGTGATGGTGGTGATGGTGGTGGTGATGGTAGAAATGGTGGTGGAGGAGGTGGTGGAGACAGACTGGTGGTGATGGTGGCGGAGGAGGTGGTGGAGATAGACTGGTGGTGATGGTGGTGGAGGTGGTGGTGGTGAAAGGGTGGTGATGATGGAGGTGGTAATGGTGGTGGTGATGGTGGTGGTGATGGTGGGGGCAGGAGGGCTGGGAGTAATCAAGCTGCTGGCACTGATCAATGTCTAGCCAACGCCAAGGACCATTCTAAGTGCATTAACTCGGTTCGTCCTGTCCACAGCCCTTCTGTCACCTACCCTAACATGAGGACAGGGAGGCAGAGATGAGGGATGTGACTGACTTAAGGCTGGAGGCTAGTTAAAGGAAAGTCCATTTCAGGTGGTCTGGTTCCCGACCGTGCCATTTCACTGCCTTCAGTGAGATCCATACTACCATTTTTTACAATAAAAATAAAGAAATCTTATTTTTCTCATCTATTAGACAAAAAAAAAAAAACTACAATAAAATCCAGTAGGAAATATTCAAAGAGGTAGTTTTTATAAATTTCCACCTAACCCATGAGAGGAGGCCTGGGGTCTCCTGTCCCTTCCTGCCCACGCGTGTGAAGCCCCAGCTGTGGCAGGAAGCCTGCCCCTCACCCCCGCTGGCTCTCCAGCATGCTGGGTCTTCAGGGCCCGGGGAGGGACGCTGCAGCCGGGCTTGCTGGGCCTTTCTAGGGAGACTATAGGTTGCCTCATCTCCTGCCACTAGGAGAGTTGGCACATGCGCGTCAGCCTGGAAGCAGACCCTACCCGAAGGCCCCTGCTCATCTTCGAACCCTAGGGCGACCTGGGGGCCTAGATCTAGCACCAGCCCAGCCCCTCAGGCCCAGCTGATTTAAACTCCCCAAGAGCAGGGTCTCCATGTGGGGTGCAGAGGAGCACCTTCCTGCTGCAAGGCGCCCTCCCTCTTTTCTCCAGACACCACCCCTGGGGCCTTGGACTTCGCTCCGGACCCCTTAAAGCTGCTTATTACAATTCCAGGAGCCACCTCCCTCCAAGCCGCCTTTGAAGCCTTTATCTCAGCACTCATGGTTTCATACTTAAGGAGGGCATGCGGCCTGCCAGCTGAGTGCTGCTATGAGCCGCATGGAACTGTGAACACGTGTGTCCAGATCAGGCCGAGACTGAGCGCATCCCTGGCCCTTCCTCGTAAGCATCTGTTCCCATCCTTCTGTAGGAGAGCTGCGGAGGCAATGGGATTATTCCGGAGTGTTTACTTCACTGTTTGGAGCATCAGTATGTAAAAAGGCCCAGCCAGGGAATTGCCCGCGACAGCTTTCCAGTCTCAGAATGTTTGTGCTCCCAACGTGAGCTGACAGCATCAAAGGTAGAGTGAGCTTCCAATGGAAAGAGCTGGAGGAGCAGACCCACCGGCCCTCAGCAACCTGAGCAGGAGGAACAGGGCCACTGACGGGTCCTAGACACAAAATGGCACAGCGCACCAGCGAAACAACCATGTGCATATCTACGTGCTGGAGTTCCTTTCATGTAAGAAACACAGAGAAAAAGAAAACATAGGCATTGTCTGTTCTTCTGTGCCAAAAAGAAACCCAGGGAGGAGAAATCAGAAACAGAGGAGATTGGTTACCTATGGGGGTAAGCTATAGCTAGGTTAGGAGGTGGGATGGGTGGAAACTACAGAGGGCTGGGGACGGGCCTCAGGGCTGGGGAGCGGCAGCTCTCGGAGTCTACCTTTGATATATGGTTCTGACTTGAGAACCAGGCTGGCGTTTCACAGTGGCCACTCAACCAGTAAGGATGGAGGAAGAAGGCCAGTGAAATACAAACAGGAACAAACGAGCCCAAATGTACTACAAATAAGTAACATAACAACGTGGAAGGGGGGTGAGCAAGAAAAGAACTAGCCTAACTAGCATACTCAACTATAACTTGACTATCCACTCTGTCGGGGTGCTAGAGCAAAATACCATAGACCTGGGCAGCTGGAGCCACAAACACCTCTGCCAGTTCTGGAGGCGGGAAGTCCGAGAGGGAGGCGCCAGCAGACGGTTTTTGTAAGGACCCTCTTCTGGCTTGCAGATGGCCACCTTCCTGTTGTGTGTTCACATGGCAGAGAGAGAGCTCGGCATCCCTCCTTATAAGGGCACTAATCCCATCACGGGGCTCCACCCTCATGACCTCACCTGACCTAAGGACCTGCGAGAGGCCCACCTCCTAAGGCCATCACATTGGGGGGGAGGGCTTCCACATGTGACTTTAAGGGGGACACGAACATTTGCTCCATTACCAACTTTACAGCTAAAGCCAACTTGAAGAGTTTTCCAGTGGCCACATGTGTGACAATGGGAACATAATAAATAACAATAATAACAGATTATAGTCCATAAAATAAGAATTCATGAGTCCATACTGACATAAATAATTGAATAAATAAATAAATGGGAAACAGTGAAAGCGCTTCCTTACAATAGCATTACGAGGAGTGAATAGAGAATAATGGAGTTATAAAAGCATCATTGGGCACCCGACATCATAGTGATTCATTCAGGTAAGAATCATCAGTGTATGCTGAACTAGCGGGTGAGAGTTTGACTGAAACAGGATATTTATAGAATCTCAAAGTATCTCCCACAAGATCCTTACTAATTACGATGGGAAAAATAACTATACAGTGGAGAAAGCTGGAAGACACCACCTCGAGGGCTGGACCAGCTGGGCAGTTTCCAGAGGTGTCAAAACTCACAAAAAAGCCCACTAGAAATGGAGAGGGATGGCAACAATTATGGTGACTAGAATTCCACTCAGGGAGTACTAGTTGCGGGTAGAAATAGGCATGCCCACTTGCGGGGATGGCGGATAGCTCAAGACCCCGAGGAGAGGTTGAGTGTCCGCCTTCACATCTCCACCACGGAGACCTCAGTTCCTCCTTTCAATACTTTTTTTTTTTTAATAGATTGGCATCTGAACTAACAACTGTTGCCAATCTGCTTCTTCTTTTTCTTTTTCTGCTTTTTCTCCCCAAATCCCTCCAGTACATAGTTGTATATTCTACTTGTGGATCCTTCTTGTTCTGCTATGTGGGACACCCCCTCAGCGTGGCCTGATGAGCGGCGCCATGTCCGGACCCAGGATCCGAACCGGTGAAACCCTGGGCCACCGAAGTGGAGCACGCAAACTTCGGCCACAGGGCCGGCCCTGTCAATATGGTATTTTTAAGTATTAAAAATATACTGGGTGACAGAGGTGAGAATAGATGACTTTGCCCACCGTACCTGTTGTGCTGCACTGGAATGCCCTTCCCTCCACCCAGTTTCTCCCAAATTTCTGCAAAGCTCGCTTCCTGTGCTGCCTCTTTGGGAGACTTCCCTCCCGGCCCCACGGAGTTGGTGCCTCCTGCGTGCTCCCATGGAGCTCTGCATAAGACCTCATACCTCTGACCTAACTTTTCTTCATCTGCCTGCTATTTGCATGTGAACTTGTGGCTTCTAGACGGCAGGACATGTTCTTGTTCGACTTTCCGTTTTCACGCCCGTTGAGGTGCTGGCCCAGAGGCACTTAGCAGACGAGCAGGTGCACAGTCTGTTTTTTTAACGGACAAAATTTGGACCTGAACTTTTTAATCAATTTTCACCAGAGAAAAACCTTAATGCCCTATTTTGGGGTTCCTTTAGACGTGGAAGGAGATTTCACAGATCTTTACTTTAAAAAATCAAGTGGAACAATACAACCTTCGCACAAAACTCAAACCAACCGAAAGAATGTTCTTAGGCAGTTTTAATCCAATAATCTCTCTTTTTTGATCAGTTACATCTCAAATTAGCCTGAAAAATCAGCATCTAGCTGATAAATCAACAGTTCGAAGAGTTGTCTCCATCCTATTCCTATATTTAACTCAAAAAACAACTTCTGATGGAATATTGCTCTTTGATTTTCTAGTGTTAAAAATTTAAGACTAATGGATCTGAGGTTTTTTAATATTTATAATGACAAATATTTACAAAGACCACTGCTCAGTGGAAAATAAGATATTGTGATAGGAAGAAATTCACAGAATTCAGAGAATTCTACTACCACATGGGCGTAGAACAAAAGCCTGATTTATTGTGACATGGTCTTTCAGACATACAGTAACTTTTAGAGACAAACCTAGCATAAAACATCTGGATTCCCTGGTGGAGCCCCCCGCAGTGCACCCCGCCATGTACCCCACCCAGAATATTTGTCATGCTTGGGCAAGTCTCCATACCTTGCCTTTATGTGAATGTTTACCCTGTCTGCATATTTTAATTTTTATTTAGTCTTGTGTTCACCATTCTGCTCCAAGTTCCTTCCATTTTGGAATGCATAGTTCTAGTTCACCATTTTCACTTTGTGCGTATATCTATTAATCCATTCTTTTTTTAAAGTGTGCATTTAAATACTATGTTTGTTTTATGTTTTTACTTGTTTGGGGTTTTTGCTATTATTAACCACACTGCAAGAGCATTCTGGTTCACATCTTATGGCACATGTGCAGGAGTTTCTTTAGGGTATGTAACTAGCAGTAAGATTGCTGGGTAAAAGAGAATGTTCCTGTTCAACTTAATTAGATGTTGCCAAATTACTCTCCAAAATGGTTGTTTTAGTTTATATTTTTACCAGCATCCACATCCTTACCAGCACTTGGTATAGTCCAGCTTTTAAATTTCTATCAATCCTATAGGTGTGAATTTGTTTCCATTTGTGTGCCCTCCATGCAGAGTGAGGTTTAGCAGCTTCTCATATTGTCAGTAGCCATTTGAGTTTCCTCATCTGTAATTTCTGTGTTTATATCCTCTGCCCCTTTTACTACTGAGCCATCTGGGGTTTTATTATCATTATCGTCATCATCATCATCATTATTACTGATTAGTAAGAGATATGTGTATATTCTGGGTGCTAATCCTTTGTTAGTCATATGTGTTGCAAAAATCTTTTCCTAGTTTTTGGCTTGTCTTTTCACATTTAAATGATATCTTTAGATACAGAGTAGTTTCAAATTTTAATGGGCTCTAATTTACCAACGTCTGCCTTTATGCTTTGTTTTTTAAATCTTGTTTTTTAAAAAAATCTTTCCTTACCCACTGAATTGATGCAATTCTATTAGGTAAATACTTATCAAGACTTTGATATCTTTTCTCCTAAATTCCAGTGTAGGTCAATGACGGAGATTTATTGGTGGCTTTCCCAGGGTATGAACTTTGCTTATCTTAGTAATCGGTGCTGCATTTGTCTAAAATGTTAACACTAACTCTTTTAAGCAGCAAAAGCTTTTTATAAATGGTTTTCAGTTCAAACAAAATGTTTTATATATAAATGATCTTTTTTAGAAAGCAGATCTTTTAACTGCTCAGGCATCTAGTTGCATATTGAGGACTTGAAAATTAGCAATGGCTTAATTGTAGCTCTTTGATCTGGATTATATCATAAACCTGGACCCCGCTCCACTTGAACCATCCATGCTGTTATTCCCCAAATGCCTCCTCCTCCAGCTACTTGAATTACTTGCTGTTGCTTCATATTCATTTCTTCCCCAACTCTTCAGCCACATTAGAAACTCCTCTGGCCAGAGAGAGCTTAAATCGCTGTTGTTACTCCCAGCACTTCGTGTTGTACGTTGTAAATGGCAGGTTGTAAATGAAAAATTGGACAAACATTTGGTGAATGCCTTTTGGACAGGACTGTTTAGACTTTTTACAGCTGGTAAATATTTATCTACTGCTCAGAAGCCAGTGATCCACCTTCCTTTCGTTTTCTACTGGTGAAAATTCCATCCTTTGGGTTGCACAATATATGAGCCTGACTTTGAAGTTGCAGGAAGTTACTTTTGGACTCTCTGTCTCTCATTCCTGCCTCTTCAATCCTGTCTTCTGTGCCCGGGGTTCCCCTGAGGAAAGGACGCGGCCAGCGGCACCTCTCAGGCCACACTCCCACCCTCACCGGCTGAACGGAAACCGCCCCCACGCACCCAGCTGGGGTGTGCTGTGTCCTGAGGAGGGCCCCTGGCCCATCCAACGGGCAGCCTGTGAAGATAATGGTGTGGGGGCAGGGAGTGGTGGTGACTAGCTTCTACCACGGGCTCAGCCCACTCCCCAGCCAATCACTGTGGCTGAGGAGGTGGCATTGCATCAGCCCCCACCGGCCACAGATTGGGGGTGGGGGTTGGGGACAGAGCAAGTTCCCAAAGAGGAGAGTGGTTCTCCCCCAAGTCGTTAGACAGAACAATAAATGCTCACCACCCGAGGTGTCAGTCCTGGCTCAGATCCTTCTCGGGTGTGTGACCTTGGCTAGGCCCTTGATTCTCACATGCCTTCCACTTCCTTACAGCCTATCAGGTGCCTTCTGTTCCACAATCCTGTCATTCTAGAAGGAATGGGGCGAAGGGTTTCTCCCTTTTCTGAAACCCTTGGAGGACATGGACTGTTCCTCAAGTTTTAGAAGCTACAGGAGCTCTGTATGTTCCTGCTGTGTCCCTGGTGCGTAGCTAAGTGCCTCAGGAACACATGAGAGTCTGCCCTTTGTGTGTAAATGAGGAAACCAAGGTCCAGCCGTGTAAGTGACTGCCGTGAGCTTAGACACCGTCAAAGGCTCCCGAGAAATCCTCAGGGCTCCCACGGAGACACGGCTTCGTAAGATTCATCATTAGTCAGTACGATAAATGACCGTTTAATTTTTTAGTTGCAATAATCAATGGCCAGATTTCTTCATCTAATCAAGAATCGACACTTGAGGAACTAAACTTATGGTTATCAGAACGACAGTGCCAGCTTTGCGATGTGGCATGTTTATTCTGGGGGATCTCTAATGTCTTTCAATAAGAATGAGTTCTAATGATTTGGTCTTGCAGACTCACTCTGGGCCTGGGCTGTTCTCACACTGACCACACGGAGCTGTCGGCTGATGCTACACTGGGAGTCTCCAGGCAGAGCAGCATCT